GGTGACAGTGGCGGTCCCTTCCGGTGTTGCCATGGCCACCCATCCACACCCTTATCCTCTCTGATTCTCCTCCATAGGGTGACAGCGGCGGTCCCCTCATGTGCCAGGACACCCATGCCAACTTCTTCTGGGTTGTGGGGCTGACGAGCTGGGGCCGCGGCTGTGCCAGGGCCAAGCAACCGGGGGTCTACACCTCCACGCGGCACTTCCATGACTGGATCCTCCACCAGCTGGGGATGTTCCGCTCCACGGGAGCCTCCTCAACGCCCCCGACATGGAGCCACCAGTATGGCTCCCATGCTCCCATCCAGCAGACGATGCCGGCTCCAACAGCCTCCAGTGTCAGTGGCATCTGCTCCTTCCCATACCGGCTGGTGAGGGAATTCATCAGTCAGGTGCAGGAGCTGCTGCAGGCTCTAAGGGGGAAGAAGACTTGAGGAGCGGCATCGCTTGAAGCTGGCTTGAGCTTCAATAAAGTTGCCTTATTTTCCCATAGAGGAGATGCTTCGCCTGCCCATCTCCTGGTCCATGGGGAGGGATGGGAATGAGGGATGGAGGGCAGGGAACAGTGGGAAGCGGGAACTGGAATCAACCAGGTTGGGAAAGACCTTCAGGAGCATCAAGTCTAATATTGCCCCACCATTAAAGCATGGCATGAAGAGGGAGGGGGGACAGCTTCCATTAGAGCAGGTCGCTCCAAGCCCCATCTATCCTTCTCCATCCAAGCCATCTCAGTGTCCCGGCACCCTCACTTCCTTATCTTCAACCTAAACTTCCCTGTTCCAGTTGGAACCCATCACCCCAGCTCCAATCCACGCCGAAGCCTCCTCTCCACACCCAAATGATGAAGGAGAACCCAACCTTCCATGGTTCTGCTTCATCCCTGCATCCAGCTGGAGCATCCCGCTTCCAGGCTTGGGATCTTCCCTTAGGACCTCACAAGCTTCAAGGCTGTATCCATCCCAGCACCAAGCACCCGTCCCAGCTCCCAACACCCATCCCAGCACCCTTTGGACCTCTCCCAAATGCCAGCACTGGAGTCCCCAGTGCCAGGAGCAGGGACTGGGGACAGCGCTCACCCTTGTCCATCTGGCTGGGTCCCCATTCACCCCACTAACTGGCACTGGGACCCCATTCACCCCTCATCCCTTGAAGATCCCATGAAGATCCCATTAGGACCCCATTAAGATCCCATTAAGTCTCCATTAGGATCCCATTAGGACTCCATTCTTATCACATTAATATGCCTTTAGGACCCAACTAATATCCCATTAGGGTGCCATTAGGACCCCATTAGGATCCATTAAGACCCCATTAGGATCCATTAAGACCACATTAAGTTGCCATGAGGATCCAATTAGGACCCCATTAATATCCCATTAGGATGACATTAGGACCCCTTTAGGACCCCATTAAGATCCAGTTAGGATCCATTAAGGCCCCATTAAGATCCAATTAGGATCCATTTAGGATCCTATTAAGAGCCCATTAAGATCCTGTCGTGGTTTAAGCCCAGCCATGCAGCTCGTTCACTCACTCCCCCCCTTCCTCCCTCCCCCTACTCCCAGAGGGACGGAGAGGTGAATCGAAAAGAATGCAACTCCCCCTGGTTGAGGTAAGAACAGTTTGGTAACTAAGGTATAACACAAATCACTGCTGCTACACCAATAGTAGCAATGGTAAAGGAAATAACAAGGGAAGAAGGTACACCACCTCACCACCCACCGACCGATAACTCGCCACCCCAGCCCAGCCAAACACCGACTGATACCCAGTCCAAACCCGCAGTCCTCCCCCTTCCGGGTCACTCCCCAGTTACATCCCGGGCATGACGTGCTGTGGTACGGAATACCTCTTTGGTCAGTTTGGGTCAGGTGTCCTGTCCCTGCTTCCTCCCAGCTTCCCTCCTCCCTGGCAGAGCATGAGGCTCACAAAGTCCTTGGGCAGACCAAACATTAAAGCAGTAACTAAGAACATCGGTGCTATCAGCGCTGTTCCCAGGCTGAGAGTCAAAACCACAGCACTGCAGCAGCTACCAAGAAGGAGAAAAAATGACTGCTACTGCTAAACCCAGGATACATGCCCCGCTTGTGGGATGCTCTGAACACCTATGGGATGCTCTGCTTGTGGGATGATCTGAACACCTATGGGATGCTCTGCTTGTGAGATGATCTGAATCCCTGTGAGATGCTCTGCTTGTGGGATGATCTGAATCTCTGTGAGATGCTCTGGAGCCCTATGGGATGCTCTGAATCCCTATGGGATGGTCTCCTTGTGAGATGCTCTGAATCCCTATGGAATGCTGTGAATCCCTATGGGATGAGATGCCCCACGACAGGGAGGGATGCACTGGTAGTGGTGGGGCCAGGCAGAGGAGTACCAGAGCATCTCCGGGTAAGTGGGTGTGGAGACAGTGTTCTCACAGGAGAATGGATAATTGGTACATGAACTCTGAATAATCCCGAAAGATGCAGCAAGACCACGAGAGGCCCGAGGAAGCTTAAGCAAGCAAGATAAGAAGAAGCTGGAATTCACTGAGTTAATGAGAACTGTGGGCTGTTGGCAAGCTTTCGAGGTCAAGTTCTCACACCTGTGCTATTCCAGTGCCCCCCATTCCCTCCCAATCTATCCCATTCCCCCACATTCCCTCCGTGACACCCCTTCACTCCCAGTCTGTTCCATTCCTCCCCATTATCCTGCAACACTGTGTGTGGTCACTGTGTGTGTGGTCACTGTGTGTGTGGTCACTGTGTGTGGTCACTGTGTGTGGTCACTGTGTGTGTGGTCACTGTGTGTGCGGTCACTGTGTGTGCGGTCACTGTGTGTGCGGTCACTGTGTGCGGTCACTGTGTGTGCGGTCACTGTGTGCGGTCACTGTGTGTGGTCACTGTGTGTGGTCACTGTGTGTGGTCACTGTGTGTGTGGTCACTGTGTGTGGTCACTGTGTGTGGTCACTGTGTGTGTGGTCACTGTGTGTGCGGTCACTGTGTGTGCGGTCACTGTGTGTGCGGTCACTGTGTGTGGTCACTGTGTGTGGTCACTGTGTGTGTGGTCACTGTGTGTGCGGTCACTGTGTGTGGTCACTGTGTGTGCGGTCACTGTGTGTGTGGTCACTGTGTGTGCGGTCACTGTGTGCACTGGGCATGCGGTCACTGTGTGTGCGGTCACTGTGTGTGGTCACTGTGTGTGGTCACTGTGTGTGTGGTCACTGTGTGTGCGGTCACTGTGTGTGTGGTCACTGTGTGCGGTCACTGTGTGTGGTGACTGTGTGTGGTCACTGTGTCTGTGGTCACTGTGTCTGTGGTCACTGAGTGTTTGGTGGTTGTGTGTAAGAAGCAGCTACTTGGCCATAGACAGAGCAGAATCCGAACAGCCCCAGAGGGATCATGCTTTCAGTATTACTGTAGGGATGACCCAGAGCAGAGTTTCTGTCTCTCCGCTGTCCTTTCCAGGACAGTTTTGCAGTCCTGCACTAAAATCGCCACTGCTCAAAGCAGTGGAGGAAAACCAGTGAAATAATAATAATAATAATAAAGAGCAATAATAATAATGATAACACAGCTGTGTTTGAACAGGGGAAGCCAGTACCGACAAGCAGAGGGGGCTGGAAAAGGGCCACCACCTGAGCTGGCTCCTACAGCACAGCCTGGCCCTTCTGCCTTCCCCCAGCCCAAGGGGACAACACGACCCATCAGCTCCTCGACGATGGTGCGGTCCCTTTACTATTGCTTGGAAGACTTACTGTAACCGAACTACCAGCACTTTAGTGCAGACTCCCTGAAATGGCATAAGTGGTGGAGGCATGGGTCAGGGACGCAGGAACAGGGGAACTGGAAGGGTAGGGCCGGGACAACGTGCACACTGTCAGCAGAAGGGTCATTGGAAGAGAAATTGCCATCACCTTAGGGCCAAAATCTCTTCCCAGACTCTTCTCATGAACACGGAAACAGCACGAAGGGGACTGGAGACTTCCTCCCCAGCAGAGCCTCTGGTTACAGTACAGCTGGGAAAAAAACAGGTAGAATTTTTAGTCGACACTGGAGCCTCCTATTCTGTGCTCAATACACTAGAGTCAGTCTTTTCAGTCAAGAAACAGTAACAGTCATTGGTGCCACAGGTGTTGGGGAGAATCACTCATTCTTTAAACCAATCAAGTCGAAATTAGGAAAGCATTGGGTGACCAACCAATTTTTCCATTTGCCAAACTCCTCTAGAGCACTACTAGGAAGGAAGTGTCACGGTGAGCTCTCTTCCAGCCCCTACGTGGAGGGGGTGTCCCTGCAGAGCCCTGGGGGTTTCTCTTCCCTTGGATCCTCTGCATATTTTCTTCACCTTCTTGATTCTGCAGTCCCGCGATGACTCCAGGAAACAGACTACTCTGACCTTGATCCAGCTCTGCCACGGAAACGCTCTTTGTCTGTTGGCATTCAGCATCTGCTCCGGCCTGCTCCTGGCATCTGGAGAAAGGACACTGATCTTAGTTCAGGGTTGTTCTTGCAGCTTCCTCATGGCTTCAGGCCCATCCTCTCTTTTTATGGCAGCACTTGATATGACACAGAAGACTGCACCAGCACTAGGTGCTGGAAATAGAGCATGGTCTTCCAGACAGGTCTGGCCCTTTCAGAGAAGTAACTCCCCTTGATACTCTCTCTGGCCTCCCTTTCACCTCTTTTCACAGGTAGCCAGTCTCAGAGAGCAGACAGCTAGCAATTTATACAAGTGCAAGTATTTTGTGCCAAGCAAGGATGGAGAAGAAAGAAGCTGGGGAACTGTAAACCAGACAGAACTCAACTAGACAAACAGTCCTTCTCTCCTAAGGGAGAAAGTAAAACCGCTGGAGAACAGCAACCACAAGATCAGGAACAAGAGAGGGACGGTATTCTGAACACCCTTTCCCACTTGCTCTTACCTGACACAGAAGAGTAAATATGCACGGTGAGTAAATATGCACAGAAGAGTAAATATGCACTGTCTTGAGAACAAAGAGCCGCAGAGTCATCGTTCACCTCCTACAAATGCCTGAGGTCGGCCTGCAAAGAAAGCCAACACCATCTTTGGATGAACTGCAGAGTTTAGGAAAAAAAAACACAGACAGGACACTGCTGAAGGACACAACACACAAACACAAATCAAAACAAGTACCCCCTGAGAATTTTCCCTAAGAACAGTGCTTGCCAGGAGCACCTGCATCACCCTTTCTCTTCATCGGCACTGATATTTATACTGCTGGAAACAAAGTTGACTTATATCTTTATGAAGCAGTAGTAGTGTCCTGCCGAGGGCCGAAACCTTTGTGTACCAGGACAGCATACAACGAATAGAGCAGTGGTTCTCCAAATGCTTGACACATGTATGTGCCAAGGTCCAAGTATTCCGGATACTGCACAACCTAAAGAGACGCCAAGAAGACACAAAAATTATCTTAAGAGTCTCTAGGAAACAGCCAGGGAAAACTTTGTCACCAAACATAGGCTAGAGGCGGGAGAGAGAGAGAAATAGATCTTCATGGCCCATCAGAAGTAGGTATTGACATCTCTGGCACTGAAGTGGCAGAAAACTCTTCTTGGCCAAACTAGCTCTTGACACAAACAGCAGGTGCTTATCTTCACACTGGAGCTGCCCTCTTACCACAGGGGAAAGAGCAAGGCCCAGCTGTTGCCCTGACATTTCTCAGATGTCTGCTTGACAGCATCATCTGCAGCCACTAACAACTTCCAAACAACGATTCATTCGCCTTTGGGGAATGTCTCCTTCCAGGCAGCCAAAGTGGCAGTGCACTCGTATACGTACCTTGCTCATCTTTCTGCCAGAGAAAGGATCAAATCTCTTCTAAGCGCAGTGTCAGGACATTGGAAGAACGATGCATCGTAAGCCTCTTGGATGCAGCAGCCAGCTGTTCACACCTTGAAAACAAGCACGGACCCAACAGTTGCAACCTATCTTCTCACCATTCCACCCCCCCATCCAACAAAAGGGAATAACTCGGAACAGGTTTCAAGGATCACATGTGCCTACGCCTCTCAAAGCATGTTTTCTCGCATAATAGCAGTCGTCTTTTCACTAACCCATGCAGTGCTTGTCAAGCTTGCTAGCATGGAGAAGACTGTGGGCTGTAAGAGGCCAGCCCTGCAGCAAAACAATGGGAGCGCCAGCTGTCTACCACTGCTTGCCCAGAGACTTGGGCAACATTGACTTCATGCACCCTTTTGGCCAAAAGAATCTGGGCAAATCAACATGTTGCCAGACCGCCATAAAGCTATGCTATCCCTGTCTTTACTGTCTGGACACCCTCAGCAAGGCAGCTCTGATTACCTTTAGGTGCACAGACACCACAAGCAACATGACTGCGAGACATGAGAAGACTGCACGAGAACGACTCCATAGGCGAGATGCTGCCAGCAGAAAAGCTCTACGGCACCATGGTGGCACCGATGATCTATAGTGGCCCCAGGAAAAAGAGGCTGCTTGGAAACATCAGTGAAGCGACAGAGACAGATCCACTCTTTAAGCTATAATCACAAGGTGAGAAGGGCTCAACAGGCGCTATGCCAATGAGGTGATGCACTGGAGACTCGTGAAGGCTACTGAGGTGCCTGTGGACCACAAAGACCTATGGAGATGCCAAGACCAGAGGAAGGTACAGTAGAAGACAGGCTGCACAAAGTACACAACAACACGGGCACGACCCTGCCCTGCCCGCACCGGTCTTGCTCCGAAAAGGAACCCGCTCCCTTTGCCTGCCCAAGGGGACTGTCTTGGACAGCCCTCTCTCCCACGCCCCATTTGAAACCCCTCCCTGCAACTCCCCACCTCATCCCTTGCCCCCACCGTTCCCTTTCCCCCGTCATCCCCACAGCGTTCCCATGACTGCTTGATCAGAGGTGAGTGTACGACCATTGCCTAAACAGTGTAGACGTACCAACACATTCACCACAGACTCCTTTCACTATCCCACCTACTCCAACTCTAAGCCTCCGGGCAGAGCAGTTCTAAGCCACAGACCCTGGCACTAGACAGAAGAGTGCAGACGATGCAGCTCAAAAATGAGAGAAAACTCTCAGCAACAAAAATGACACCCAGACCCGAGACTGTCTGTCAAGAAGACCTATGGGGCCGCCAGGGTGAGGCAAGGAGGCTCTACAGCAGCTCCAGAAAAAGAATGAAGGAAACAATATCGAAGAAGGAAACTATATGAAATGATAAGGGGGGAAGGAAGGGGAGAAAGCAAGGGAGAAAGCAAAATGAAATTAATTTAAATGCAGGAATGGAATGAAATTAAATGGTGAAATTATGAAAGGCTTGGGTTGAAAGGGACTTTAAAGCTCATCCAGTTCCAGCTCCCTGCCACGGGCAGGGACACCTTCTACTAGACCACATACAGGGGAAGCTCCCTTAGTCAGACATGGTACCCCATAATGACAAAACATGGCTCTTCGCATCAGTTTTCTGCATGTTCACATTAGTTCTTTTAGTCAGACACAGAAATCAAAGTCATCTCTTCTTCTGTGGTAGAAGTAATCAATCTTTGAAGGAGAACAACAAAAAGAAGTTAAAGCAGGTCCTTTTATCCTTATAAGATGCTTACCACAGAAGTGTTTCTCATATTAAATGTTCTTCTCTACCCTAAAGGGTCCCCATTTCCTCTGTTCCCAAAGCTGTTGATGGGGTTTCAGAGAGGGGAACACGCAGTACAGAGTCTGAGGGCTTTGAATGGAGAACGTTTACCAAACACTGTAACGGCAAATCAAGCAGAGATCAAACCTTAAAGGGAAAACCTGGGAGCCAAAGGACTAATACCACCCCAGTAAAACTGTCCTAAGCACATCAAGGACCACAAGCCTGGAGGCTGATGATGGCTCTTGATGGGCTTCCCTCCCCCAGATGAAAACACCTCTTAGTTCTCTGTGCTCAGCCCAAGGAAGGAAAAGGCGACAACCTTGACATCTGTAGGCATGCCTCTAGAAGGGCTCATTTCTTGTTGCTTTAGAGACACTGCCTGGCCAGTTACAACACCTACAACATTCTGACTTCATGCACCCCTACCCACACCAAGCTGGGACACGCGGAATAAATGTGGAGGCTCAGGTGATCTTTCACACTCACACACTGCTACCACTGCAGCTACTCACATTTAGCTGTCGCCTTGAAGCTGCCCCACGGGTCAGGGCGTAAGGTTCTTGTTCTATGGAGGTACTACGGAAGACATTTCTGGTGACAGAGTATTTCAAATAGGTAAAGCACAGCAGAACATGCTGTTGACAACCTGAGGAGAATCATCCCCCAGGCATATCAGCAACAAGGACTAAGGTGGTCGATTTAAGCTGCCTTTGAGTTACATTCCCATTAAAATACACCACCACCAGACACTTCTCTGAAGTGAAGGCTGACAGCAGCGTACAAGGACAGTCCTTTTCTGGACACCTCACTCCTGGGCAGAAATCCCAGAGACTTCATTTAATGCCAGGAATCCAAGGAGCTACAATACGCTTTTTAACGCCAGCACAGCAAACAAAAAGTGACACGGAAACCCCTGAGGCACTAACGAGCAGCACAAGGGCTCCCGCTGAGCCCACTACCCCTCACAGACCAGACACCTCTTAAAAAGAGGTTCCTGCAAAGAAGCCACGGGCAGAAGATAACCCTGGCAAGTCCGGCACAAGCAACCAATGTAGAAACGGCACCGCTGACCCTCCTCCTGCTCCTCCCACGAGCTCTTTGCCAGCCACGCAGAGGGGCAAAATCAAGGATGAACAAATCAGATCTGAGAAGAATTTGGCCCCCAAAATTCGACAAGATCAAGAAGCCTGTCTGAAATAGGAATTCACACCCACTGTCGTGTAGGATGAGTCTCGCCCTCAGCACATGTGCCTTGACACGGTAGCTGACTGTGTCAAGTCACTGCCACAAGCAGATGTTCAAACCCAAAGCATCCAGAACAGGCAGACAAACCTCTACCGTTTTTCAGCAACGTTTCAAGTCACACAATAGTCAGTCAAGGTCTTTACAAAACATCCCTGAAGAAGAACAGAAGCCTCTTTGACAGTTTCTCCCTCAAAAGCAGTACCAAAAAGCCACACACCCTTGAGGAAACACTCGTCCTTCCGGGTGGCTGGTGTCTTACCAGGGCTCTTCCCCAAGGCAGCAATGACCACGGATGTGGGGGTCTCCAAACTTCAGGACACAGTCCTCCGGCAGTCACCAGCTCTGGGCCAGAGTCCTCCCACACCCAGCAGTGCCCCTCGCTGTTCCTCTCTTCCCCTGCCTGACTCCCTGCCTTTAGTTTCTAATTCCCCCCTGTGTGTTGTGGAGCCTGTTGCTATTTCCCCCTTCTCCAAATCTCTCTCTCCCTCCCACTCCCTTCTCTTCTTTCAAGCCTTGCTTTCCCTCTCTGTCTTGCAGCCTGCCTCCCCCGCTCCCCCTGCATTCCCTCCTCGCCAGGCCGTGATTCCCTCTGGGCTCCTCCCCCTGCTCACTCCCCGCGGCCCCTCCCACCCGCTCCCCCTGCTCCCTCGGGCCTATGCCCAGGGGACGGTGGCCCAGCAGGGCCCGGCAGAGGGAGGAGCGCCCCAGGGCATGCTGGGAGCTGTAGTGCTAGGGCAGGGGCTGCCGGCGGCCATGTTGGTGTTGGGGGTTGCGGCCCAGCTCAGGGGAGGGCCTGCCCAGGAGGAAAGGGGAGAGCACAGAGAGGCAGAGGGAGAAGGGCCTGGGCTGAAGAGTTTCTCTGTCAGGACGGAGAGCGGGAGCTGTGGTGAGTGCCCGGCCCTTGGGGCCATGGCTGCCTCTCATCTCTCCAAGCTCCCCCCTCCCTTTTCCCTTGCTGTCATTTGTTTCGCTTCCCCATACCTCTCTTCTATTCCTGTGCTGTCCTCCACGTCCCTCTGTTCTTCAAGTCCTTCTTTCTCTCCCACTCTACCGGCCCCTTCTGCTTGTTGCAGCTCATTCTGTATCCCACTGGCCCTGTCTTTCTCCCTGCCTGCTTCTCCTCTCCCTGGCTGTGTCTGCTGCTCCCAGACCCTTCCTCCATCGCTCTGCAGGGCTTCTGATACTTTTTCTTTCTGCATCCCTCTGAGCTGCTCGTTGCTCCTGCACTTCTCTTTCTCTTAGTTGTTATTCTGGTTTTAGAATCATAGAATAGTGAGGGTTGGAAAGGACCTTAAGATCATCCAGTTCCAACCCCCCCTGCCTTGGGCAGGAGGACCTCACATTAAACCATGTCACCCAATGCTCTGTCCAGGCTGGCCTTGAACACCGCCAGGGATGGAGCATTCACAAGTTCCTTTGGTGCCCTGTGCCAGCGCCTCAGCACCCTCACAGGGAAGAGCTTCTGCCTTATATCTAAGCTAAACTTCCCCTGTTTCAGTTTGAACCCATCGCCCCTTGTCCTATCAC